CTCTCTCCCATCCCTCTCTCGTTCCAGGGTCGCGCCCGTGAGGATGCTCGTTTTTCGAAAATGCCCTTGAAAAGAGAGCCGTGGCAAGCACGTGGGAAAACTCTTTAACCGCGATCGGATCCTTTGATCCGTTCCGTAGTGGAAGTTGTAAAGATTCTTTGTGCCCGGATGCCCGGAATCGTGACATCTCGTTGTTCTCCACGCTTGATTCCGCTCGCTTCCGTCTCGCGGGCGAAGCAATCGCGAGGTCCGCGGATACCGGCGACGCTTGATTTTACGGGTTGCACTCTTTTAAACCCCCCCTCTCGCGAAACTTCCTTTGATCTCTCTCGAGTTATTACGCTTACTTTATGTTGGAAGTCGAAGCACGCGTCACGCCGGAGTTTTACTTCGCTACAGCGGGGGAGGAGGAGGCGGGAGGAACGTTGAACGTTGAGATAGTATCCTTGATACTCACGAACAGATAATTTATGTTGTGTATCCGCGATCTTCTGAGTAAAAGGTCTCACCGTGCATTACGATTGAAATGCCGTGTGTACAAGCGCGGAGAAATAATTTCCTTTCGTAATTCGATAGCGTATCGCAAAAGTGAAGAGGTCACTAACTACGTCGGCGGAATATTGATATCGCAGAAAAGAAATTTTTACTCGTCTAGACGTATAAAATCACGGAAGTAGGATCCATCCCGTTATAAACCATTAATAACCAGAAATCGATAACCACATTGACACGTCTTCGAACATCTGCAAACGTCTTTTCTGACAATACAAACGCTTTTAAACCGCTGAAACATGGCGTACCTCAAAGGATACTACAATAAATCGAATCCTTCTGCCGCGGGTAATCACGTATTTGTACAGGTTCCACAAGACCGCAGGTTTCCCGCGGAGTGAATCATCTCGTTCTCATCGTGCCTCCTTTTCTCCCCGACATGAAATAACGATATGTCTACATGCGAAGGAAAAAAAAAATCGTGCGGGCCGATACGATTGATCAGATAAAAATAAAAAATAAAAAAAACCGCGATCTATCCTTGATCCCCTGATTGAGGAGGATCCAGATCGTGAGCAGATAGGGCGCGTGACCGATCGAATTCGTGTGAACCTGACTAGACGCATCTGCCCGTTGGCTAAATAACAGCCGACGAGAGAAGGAGGACCGGTATCTTGGAGAAATCTACGTCGCCAACGAGCGAACGTCGTGGAGGGAAGACGACGTATGTAAGCGTGAGGTAGAGAGAGAGAGGAGGAGAGAGAGAGAGAGAGAGAGAGAGAGAGAGAGAGAGAGAGAGAGAGAGAGAGAGAGAGCGGGGAAGAGGCAGCGCGCGGTGAAGGAAAAGAAAGGCGATATCCTCAACGTGCGGTCTATAAAGACGCTGCGAACCCACATCCCCGCGGTCGCTGCGCCGCGGGGGAGGTTGACATGTTTATTTCGCTCCGTAATCTTCTCGGATTACGTTACCGAGAAGCGAGGAGGAGGAAAAGAGAGGGATAGTCAGAGAGAGAGATAGGGAAAGAAGAACGAAAAATGGGGGGGAAACGAACCGAACGAGAAATAGTCGGCCTCCGTGGCGCAGTTTCTGGATGATACCTGCGGGACTCGATGCGTGCTCTAAAGAGATCCCTTGCGGTTGTCGGTATATCCTTGAGGAATGTTTACGCGGATTAGTTTCGCACGTTCGTAATATGTACGATGCTCCGAAGTGTTAAATTACATCGCGCATACGTTACGTGTCCTGCGGAATTTGGGACAAAACAAATGGAAGCGATAGAGGAAGAGCGGTATCTCTCTCTAAACGCTAATCCGTTTATTATCGATTACAATGTAAAGGAGAAACCGAAACTCGCGTAGAACGTGTCCTAATACGTTCATTAAATTACCGGTTATTAAGACGTTGGAATTTATGTCCAGCGGACGTTCCTAATCCGGTGAGATTATCCCCGTTTATCACCAGCGAATATTGGACTACCGGAGCGCCTGACTCTTCTAAATGAAATTTATAACTATGTCTACATCGACCCATCTCTCTTTCCCAGCATGTAACATCGTTCACCTTCATCAAAAACTTTTCAAAGGTGCGCCCAGTGCTGTATGCACAATTTCTGACCCTTCTGAATCGAGAAAAATGAGGCGTCAAGAACCGGTAGTTGAATCCTTTTGGCTAGGTCCAGTCTGAGAGTCGCTCTACCTGTTGTTATACGATACTCGAGATGCATCGTGCAGGCTCAAAACCGCTCTCGCATTGTGCTCGCTTTCTACTTGTTACGAAAAAAAAAAGAGTATCATCTTTGCTCCCTTTAGTCGCGAACGCCGACAAGGCGCCCATATTGTGCCGCAAGATGCTACGGTTTACCTGAATAAATACAACGAAAAGAAGGAAGGGAACACTAGTAGGCTTTTCTGGTCGATTTTTTCCGACCAAATGGAGGTCCAGGACAAGCGGATTCGTGTCAACTGCAGTGTGAAATGCCATGTGGCCGCCACGCATGACGCAACGCCGTTCGCCGTCGAGTGTTTTAAACCTTTGAATGGATAATACAAAACGCGTTTATAAATTGAGTCCTCATCCCGGAGGATTAGGATGAGCCCGAGATGGGAAATTTTGTGCAAGGGTGCTGTAATACGCGTGGCCGTAATGCGCGTGTTGCATGGATCTTGGTCGGATTATTCCACGTCATGAATCTTCGAGAGTATTTTCGACCTGTATACACCCGTCTACATAGTTCGCACCATGTTGTGCAGTGGTTTCATTGATTTTCGAGAAATTATTCTGTTGATGGTAAACACCGATGAGCCGACGTTCAAGCATGAAAAATTTATATTGAAATAATGTATGGAGATTGCGTGCTACATATGTATATCATAAATAATACAATAACCTTATCAACTTAATTATTTTATAAAATATGGCTGTGAGTGACAATTAAATTTCGTTATCGTGATTATTTCCGGAATTATTTCAAAGCTTGTGAGCACGGAACTTAAAGACGACTTGATATATTTTTTTTCCTCGCAGCGTAAATTTCATCATCATTCTACCTTATTGCATCGCGTTCGCTCACGAGAAAGCTGCTGTACAACAGCAGTTACAGTTGTAATCGAACATCTAGCGAAAGACCTTGACGAATGACATTGATAAACGATCCCTTAGTCGCGTTTCAACTAGTCGACTCGGCGGGATCGTGTAACAACTTGCTACTAACAAGCTTTGCATATACGCACGCTAAGCGTGTTCGCGATCATACGTTTCTGCGCGAATTTTGTTGCATGATATGCACACATCGCGTGAATTTTAAGCATCTCGCTGGGAGTTTAAAACATCGATCGATAAGCGAGAGTAACTCTCGCGTAACACTTAGAGTGTAATGCCCCACGTACACACAGCGGTATTATTTAAATAGAAATATAAATTAATCTGCGCGATTAAATATTGCTAAAATTAAATGTTGCTAAAATTTTTATCGTAATACAATGCAACGTTTCTCGGGTGATCAACGTTTAAAGGTAAATTCTGAATCTCGAATTGCGCAAATTCGTCACGGGCACAATTTTAAACGCATCGCAACGCTTCCTTCGAATTTCAAATCCAGTACACAGGTAATCCCGAGGAACCATATTTCCAGTAGACGAATCGTGCTTAATAATTAATTCCGACGGATTATCGATCGGAATTCACCCCCGAAGAAACAGCAGTTTCGCGTTCGAGGGAGCCATCGAACCACGGGGGAAAATTACGCCCTCTCCCTGTCTCGCTTTGGCTTTCCTTACGTTCCTTTCACGGTAGCAACGACTGAAAATGAAGGCGCCGCGAAGGAAATTTCGCGTGCGGGAAAGTGTCTGCCGCCGCTGGAATATTTAAATGGCAAGGGCTGCCAGCTACGTCGTAAGTGGCACTCTCGACTTTCCTAACCGTCTTTTACGCTTTCCGGTAGAAACACAACGCCGTGGCGGCGACCCGGCCGACGTTAAACCCGTTTCACCTCGATACTTCTTTGCGTTGTTGCGTGCGAGAAGGAATTTCCATTTTGTGTAAAGAGTAGCCTTCCGTACGGCGTATGTAGAAGCGAAATAAGCTGCGTTATCATGTTTCTCGAAATATCGCTAAACACAGCATATACATATTTCATTTACGTTCCTTAACAAAATACCAAGATTTATGGCGTGCATGATTATACCGCGCGTTGGTAGATGATTATCTTCCTCCAGCGTTAATTAAAACGGAACAATTATTGTACTAATTGTAGGATCCTTTGTAAAAATCAGCGCGCCAAGTCCTATAGCGAGTTGTTCCTTGCGACGGCGGCGCGTTGTCAAAGACAACGGTGACTGCCTTACGTAAATTGAATGACGCCCTTTAGAGCTCGCGAAAGTGACGCCGCCAATCCACAATCGCACTTTGATGTATTGTGGCGATTATATCGTTGCATGCATTGACATGCTGATCCGAATCAGCTCAACGGAATAGACTTATATATTTTTTATATTCTCTTGTAATAATTTCTTTTTGTATTAATCATATATTTCATGATTGTATATTTTCTTTGTAACGTTATAACGTTATTTTCTTTGTAACATAATTTGTATGTTTAACGAAACAAGAGACAAACAATAACAGTAAACAGATTCTCCTTACTATTCTTGTTATTAAGAATTAAAATATTTGTTTTTAAGAAGGAGAAAAATATAGAGAGTTGACATACAGAATAACGAACGAGAGATTCGATCAACGGACACCGACGGGAACGGACATATATTTAAAATAAGAATAAAAGACCTTCTGAGTAATCGGACTTTACGAATATTAATCCTTCCGGCTGTAACATTCCATCCTGCATATAACTCCAAAGTATCTATATAACGAGTTTGACATTGTAGTCATCCTGTGAATTCATTAGTTAGTCGTTCCTGGATTTTTGTAAGAAATAGATTCGCTGAATAAAGCTTTCTTAAATTTATTCTTACACAATATCAAATCACGTTGTTCTCTTTTTGTGTTACAGGTGCGGGCTCGACGAGTCAAGCCGACGAGTAGCCAGTGTCGTGTCGAGTGACGTCGAGTGACGGTATTTAAGTGTGGCTCCGACCGGTCGGTACCTCCTTTTACACCGCGTGCGAGAGATGAACGAATGACTGAACCGCGGTGATCCGTGATACGCGATGAGGCCGAAATCTTGCTCGCTGTTCCTGTTGTTCTGCGTGCTGCTGCCCGGAGTGGTTCGTCCCTTCACATCCGGCGAAGGTAAATAAAAACTTTGAGTCGAGAGTGAGGAAGCTCCGTCGTGCCGCTACGTCGTAAAGCTTCGGGCGGCGAGGCCGCTGCGTCGAGGAAGAGAAGATCTCGTAGAAGATCGTTAAGTTCGCCATTTAACTCGTGCCAAGCCTATAATGACCTCTCATCCCTCGTGGACTCGAAGTGCCGCGCGCGGTCTGAGTACCCTCGCTCGAGGTACTCGCGCCGAACGCGCGGCGTCCGAGTACCACTTTACAAGTTCTTCTGCTGGCACCCGTTTGCAAGAGAGAAATTACTATTATGTTGTAAATTGCGTTGTGTCATTACGTCGTTGACGGTACGATCGCATTAATTTACCCGGAGGTTTTCACTTGGAGGCTCTCAGACTCGTCAAGGTATTTCGCGCGTATTCCTCTCGTTTCGCGGCTGATAGTTATGCGAAAAACGATAAATATCGAATGCGTTTCGTGAACAGTGTTCTTCTAATAAAATCCGCGTAACGGATAGCGCAACTTGCGACGAGACGGCGGCGAGCACGGCGAGCTACTTGAAAATATCATTCATCGACGCTCTGGTCCGCGATACTCAGAGCGAGACGTAATACACCGTGACTCGGACGTTTCGCTAACGATCGCGAGCGGGAAACCGAAACAGAGGCATGCCTTTTACGAGCTACGAGACGTGGAAGGAAGATCGAGCTAGGAGGCTATACACGAGCGAGCGTTACGAATATGCAGGAATATCCTAGCCGCGAGAAAGAGACCGAAAGACTGCTAATTATACGGCGAAGCAGGCTGACTGATTAGTCGTCGGTATAACCGGCCGGTTACATTACACCAGCCCGTTTTCGATGATGGATTACGCTCCCCCGGAGCTACTTTTGAACGACCTCCTGGACTACGTGGAAATCCCCGTCCTCGTTGTTCTTTCTTCAATCTTCTCTTCCCTCGGAGGGACACCGCGGCTAACTAATTAGCGCCCCCGACGTATCCTCGTCATCGTCGTTCGCGTTAACGACGGATTGTATCTACCGCGACGCGGACACAAGCCGTCTCTCCGTCCCTCCAACGTGCACGCGTTAACGTGAAAAAAGGGCATGCGACGATCAATCTCTGTTAACTCGGGACAACAAAAGTATCGCGCGCGACGTCGTCGTCCTAAAACAAACACGATCCAGTAATCCATCTTCCATATTCTTCCGTCGACACATCTTTTTCACGCATTGTCCAAATTCCGCCCCTGCAAAGTAATATCGCGACATCCGTTATCTTCGCGGGCGTTTTTGTTGGCTCGTGTGTCGTGTAACAGTTTTCCCGGTAATCGGACAGTCGCGAAAAACGGATGTGTATGATTTAACGCTAGGGCGAAACGAGGATACAATTATGACTTGTTAACCATTCTTCCTTTAAGATCTAACTGTGTAATCTTGGCGCACGCACATACACATATGCGTGGCTCCTATCCTTATTATCCCGCACGAACGCATGTTGCCCACGCGCACACATCGACGGGAACAAACGGCGCCAGCTTGAAAACATTCGTTTTCCATTCCCCCAGGTACGTGCTGTACAATAGAAATCGCAACATAGCGCGCGTACACACATCGTACGCATACACACACACGCGCGCGCGCGCGCGCGCGCGCACACACACACACACACACACACACACACACACGTCATCTTCCTTTACTCATTTTTCTTTTGCGGCGCAACGGATAGATAAATAATTCCCATTCTGGCGCGCATCCTCGTGATGGAAGCTACACAACAAGCGGCGTCTCGCCGGTATTCTTCGCACGGTCACCGATGCAAGAAATCATATCTCATGTGCGTCTCATGTACACGTGCTCGCCGCAAAGTGTGCTTTCCATTTCTCACGCATGTCTCTCGGATAAGTAACAATTATCTTGAACAAGCACGTCGCGTTTTCACGAGACAATATATAGCGGATATAGTAACGCGGTTAAAATCGCTACAACGTGTGCTTTGCGTGAAAGCTAACATATACAATTACTCGTCGCCAACCAAAGGTTTTATTGCCCGCTACGTCGGTTAAATAAGATATAACGAAGCGTTACGGTCTGGGATACCACGCATAATGAGACAGGCGCGACCGCTGCACCTTTCATATGAAAAAAGCATATGAAAAAGATTGCGATCTATTCACCAAGTCATCGCGTGTAACTCGGAGATAATTGCCGCTCTCGTTATTATCATCGTTACGCGGGAAACAAGCCATAATGGCGATATACTTAGCCGCCTCGTCGGCCCGCTGATAAATAACAATTACGGCCTCTGACCTCGTAATAATTCCAGTGAGAGTTACACGCTCACGTGGCGCCTATCGCGTCCGCGTCAAATGCGATCGGTTCCTTTACCTCGATTATGAAGTTTCTACCTGGGCTAAGAATCATCGTCGGACGTCGGCGACGATGCGACGTCGTCGTCGTTGTCGGGCAGAAAGTGGCGGACAAACGGCGCCTATCTCCGTTCACTCGCAGGCCACGACCACTTCTCCTATGTGTAACTTGCCGGGCGAGAGAGCGACGTATTATATGCATGCACGCACACACGTGCGCCCATGTGAATAATTACCCCGACGATTTATCGCGACGTGATATCGCGTCATAATTCCGCTGTCTTGACTGGTCTGGCGCTGCCGCCGCGCGGCGAGAAAAATATTAGCCGCGTTAATAATTAACGGTGCGCCCGCCGCGGAGAGGTCCCGCTCCAGCGACTCCGCGTTCTCACGTTTTCGTCGGCCGCGCCGTGCGGTAGCGGCCGCACACAGCGACCGTAGCAGACCGCACCGGTTTTCACCGGCGTTCCGCGCGCAGCGCGGCGACGTATAATTTTTCAACCGCGCTCTCGCGTTATCTCTCGCGACTGACGCTGCCCCGAATTTCACGTCCATTCGTCGGGAAGGTATTCGGCACGCGGGATTTCTTTTTTACGACGCGTTTCACCAGACAGACACCATTACCTTCGCGCGCAAATCCTATCGCAAGCCCGGGTCCCCGTTCTCCGCATCTCCGCTCTCCATGCGCGAATATTAAATTTATGAAACCGATAGCGCCGCGCGTGCCCCCGGCCGAAAATTTATGTTCCGCGACGCGGGATTATGCGGAGAAATTGATCGTTAATTCGTGTGCGCGCCCGCTCGGAGTTGCTTCGTGATTTATACTGGAGCTTAATAAGTACGATGCGCGTAAGCATGAGGGGAACCTCGCGCAGCTGCGAGAACTGCGAGAGTGCAGAATTGATTTTGTGATCGACGTTTTTATGACCCCCAATAAGGACTCACCTCGGCAGGTCTCGCCGTTGTAACGGATCGAGGTATCCTCGAAAGAAGAATTGTTTCGTTGCGCGCTCCGAAATAAGCTTCCTTAATCGCACGGTATAGTCAATTACGCGAACCGTGACGAATCCGTGTACCAGCAATAGCAACGGAGACGGCGTTTCTAATCATACCTCACGGGATAGATGATCACGCTATAAATCGCCGGGCGTTATATCATCGCTTTCACGATCAGATTCGTTATCCTCGATCACAGAGCGCGGCGCTTACACGTCGGGAGAGGATAATAGGAGGCCGCGCGCGGGCGCGCAAATGCATCGCGGAGGCTCGAAAGGATCCGCTACTCACGCCGGCCGGTGCAACCATCGCCCTCACCGCGTTTGATAAGTATCATAAGTAAATCGCGATTACCAATCGCGATTACCGTTCGCGATATAACCCGAGAGCCGGTCGCATGCGGTGGAAGCTGAGATCTGCTCTCGCGGGCAAAATTGTCACGGGCAAAATTGTCACGGGTAAAAATGCAAAAGTTGCGCGCGCGCTCGCTCGATCGCGCAATTACCCGGTTGATTCCACCGCAGTCCGACCGTCTCGTCTTGACTCCAGACTCGGAAAGAGTGTTGTTTCTTGTGCGACGAGGCAGGGGAGGGAGAAGGAGAGAGAAAAAAAAGGTCCGAGCAACGATCGGGAATGAGAATGAGGACGCGGGGAGGGGGAGAGTTTCTTTAATATCTCTCGTAGTCTCTCATCGGTATACCCGGCCGACAAGGAGTCGCGCGTTCCTCTCTGTTGCGACGAAAGGTCAGGTCAGCTTTAATTATCGTAAATCAAACGAGCGCCCGCCGCACCAACCAGCCGAGGAGGCTCAGAATTGCACAAGCATAATTATTGTTGAAATCGAGGAGAATATCGACGAGCGGGAGAACCGAAAAGTACCCCGCGAATACGCGAGAGAACGGTGATCGTGAAATATCGGCCGATCGGATTATGTTCCTCGAAGTCATGATATTCTCGCATGATGAAATTCTGTTTTTTATTTTCTTACGATTATAGCACACGCGATTTTTTTATTAGCCTTAATTAATTATGAAATTATAAATGATGATTGTGCAAAGATCTGAAGTAAGAATTGAAGGGAAATATAAGAAACTTATCTTCATCTTAGCTGAATATCGCAATTCCCGTCTGTATTAAAACGAAATGGTAAAAATGTGAAAGTACACTTTTACGTTTAATAAGTTCGCGTGTTATTACAGTTGTAGTTTACACTGTACAAAAATGAAAAAAAAAACGTGATACGATATCTGATCCGGTTTACGAAACTCATCTTACCTCGGTCTTTTGTGCTTCATCGCGCTCGCTTTTATTTCGGACAAAACGGAACGGATCACTTCAATGCAATTTCGTTGCGGAATTGAAGATCGTTACGGAGCGCACACGTTCGATATATCGTAACTTTAGCGATGAGACTGATAATGTTACGCCAAGCGCAAATTTTCATTCAATTTTAATGGCCTGGAACCACAAAGGGATATATGTGAGAGAGTATCGAAGAAGCATATCGGCATGACGCATGCGATTCGACTTCTCGTTGTTATCAATACACCCTCCAAGAAGCCACCACGGGTGGTAACACGCGAACAGTATCTGATTCTGTTATTCGCTTAATTACGCGCCTTAACGTAGCGGTGCCGCAATCGAGTCGTGTAATACGCATCATCACCCTCCATTTTCCACTCTTTGCGCCACTCTCGCCCTCGCTGCTCATGCATTTTCGAGCTCTTTAATTCATTTAGCCGCCGTCGACGCACACATCGCCGTGCGTGCGTTGCGCTTCAGGCTATATTCGATTACTCTTTCACAAAAATTGTGATCCCCGGCCCTCCTGCGTTTCGTGAATTTTTTGCGAAAAATTTGAAAAAGAAATTCGAGCGAGCGAAATCGTGGGAAAATCAACTTGGAAGAGTGTCGAGCGAACGACATTGTCATGTGTGCCGACTTTAAATTTGCGAAACAGATTGCGAAGCTGTCCTACAAAATCCGCTGGATAACATGTGCCATTTTCGCACGCGTGCAAAATAATACGCTCGATAAGCGATCTCCCTCTAAGGGATTAAGATACACCGACCGAATATGGATCTCAGTTGGAATACATTAATCCGTTTCACACGGTGTCATCCCGTCGCCGATCTCGTCGTCGGAGAGCGGAATATCAGAATATCACGATCTCCATCGACTTCTCTTTTAGCTCTCGCTAGCGATCTCCATCTGCGTTGGACCGTGTCCCAGACGCGCACGCGGGCCCATGCGATACCGATCGATAAAGGAATCGTACCAACCCACTCATCGTCGTATCTCTCGTTAGTCGGAATGACGATTCAACAAAGTCCCGACGAGCGCGGAACTTGACTCACATTATTTAGGCCCGAAGGTCGTGATCTGTGAACGACCTGGAATACAATGGTAACCCGATCTGGCTAAGCGCCGTCGTCTATTGTGACGTGACGACATGGCACGTCCGCGACATCTTCAAACCGGAAACAGGCCCTGCGACGATAGGTCGTGGAAAGCGTTAATTCAATATGACTTTTCAGTCATATTGTCGGCTCGCGCTTTCTCGAAAGCCATTCAAAATATTTGCCCAGCACCTGGATCGTATATCGTAACGCGCGACTTCGAGCTAATCCGATTTTAAAAACTGTCACCGGAGGGATCCCGTCTCTTCGCACCTTTCATGTCGCTCGGAAGGAGGGTGAGATATTTCGTTCGATAGGATTTTACCTATCGAGAAAGCTTTAAACGCGTTATTTTCGCGTGCCGATTCGAATTTCGCTGTTCTCTTATACGTATCATTCGCACACGCGAAAATCAGGAAACGGTACAAGCCGTTGGGTCAATGTTGCCGCGGCCACGAAATAACGACGGCGACGGCAGACGATGGTGGCGGGTGCTCGCAGTTCGCCGGCTAAAATAACAAGGCACGTGACGTGAGAAACAAGGAATCCCTTGTATCTTCCTTAATCCATCTCTCTTCGTTTCGTAGACGGCGCATCTTGTTGCGCTTGTCCATACACTCCGTGTATACCTTGGGCTCCTTTGCGAGCGTGGCGTCGATCGTGCAAGAACCTCTCGACCAGTGCTCTCTCGGTGCTGCTGTTGCAGGTACCTTTTGTTAATTAAGAGGCGTCATGTGTGGTCTCTTCACCCTCCCCGGTGAGCGGACGCACCGTGAA